TTTAAGTGAACTTAAAATAAGCCTGACCTAAAGTTGGGAATTGCAGTGCTTTGTTTGTTTGGGGATTTGGCTTCGGTTACGTCCAATTGAGTGGCCACCTCACCTGGTGCTGGTCTCCGGGTCATGTCAAAAGCTGTTATTTCTTGCTAGTTGAAAATGTTTGTTAGGCTTAAGTATGAGGTCTTCTTCTTTCCATAAAGAAGTTCGGGGAAGTTAAAAACCAAATTATACCAGCGCACCGTGGGATTACTTCTACTGAAACAAGACAATGGTGAGCACTAGCCGTCGGACGATTTGTAAAGTGGGTCCTTACAGTATGTTCTCATCTTTTAATAGTGGGAGGTTTTTAACATTCTGGAAATTTAAAGGAGATGAGTAGTTTCGGAGTGGCATTCTGGCTTCTTTTCAAGGATTGAGGAAGCCACAGTTTCGGAGCGTAAGATAAGTCGCTGACATTAAGGAAATGATGGATCACTGAGTTGGCCTAAGTACGACAAAAGAGTCTTTCGTTTCCTCGTTATTAGATTTGTGGTTCAAATGATGTGCCACAAGCATTCATGAAAGGCATGGAATTGATGGATGAATGTCGTTCGACGTCTTGGCTCCATCTGTCGCCAAACTGCTATCGTGATAACCCACACACTAGAGTGTTCATCTTCTATTTAGTTCTTACAACAAAATGATGTACGGCTGTGTGAAAATTTTGTTCTGCATTTTCTGTTCTGGTCAGGAAGCAATTTTCTTCTCAAAAAGTAATGAATAATGCAAGTTCTGAAGAGATTTAAGTTGCAATCTCCAACTTTCCACGCTTTTGATAGCAGTTTTGGGGTAATTATTGTCTTTGCTGGTTTCGATATTCCACCTTGTAGAACGCGATGTCCATTAGTCGACTTAGCAAAACTATAGCCGAAGTGACCTCTGTCCAGAACAGCAGAGTTACTGACAACACATATGAGTCTCACTTCCTTACTTTTCTCAGATTGCATTTCTTGCTAACTGGTTCACCAAGATAAACACAGTTTTAGACTTGGTGGCTATAAATCATTTTCCTTACTTGGAGGTTGCACTTAAGCATCATCTCCCACAAGCTTAGGTGGCAACTTTGTGGAAATCCCGGCGTAAATGCAGTCCTAACGTCCGCTAGAAGTTGTCTAGTACAAATAATACTGCTTTGGATTGTAAAAAGCAAGCGTTTCATAGAGTCATTATGTTAGCCTAGCAATTGCAAGGAGGTCAACGTCAAGTCTGTCACAATTTATTTGTGCTGCTGCTTCTTCCCTTGGTCGACTTGGAATTGTCCGAAATTGACCTCCTTCAGGGTTGTACTTAAATGAAACTTAAGTTTCAGCATCCGCAATCAGTAGTCGTATTTAAGAAAGGCTGATTTGGGGCAATTCGTGTGGCGTCAACATTAAGCGTATACGTCCAAAATTGTTGTTGCCATGTCATCCGTTTGCACCGTGATAACGTCACCAAGGGTAGGAGTTGAGAATAGGGTCCAAATTCAAAAGCTGGGTGTTGGTAAAACTGTAGGCCTGCGCACCATCATTAGGAAAGCGGCATTTGTCGAAGCCTTTTTTGGCCATGCCTACTCCGTTCCCTCCAGCCCTCCTCGTGAGCTTTAGCTCGTCTGCATGCTTGTTGGTTGTGGAGCTCCGAGTGGTTCCAGACCAGAGGTTCTGCTTATTACCAGGCCTGGTGACCACCCTATTGGTAGGGCTTTAGGTACTTCTATGTGAGAGAATTTACTCACATGAAATGAAACACAAGGTGACAAAGACGATGTCATGGATGAGAGTGCCATCAGTGGCCTTTACTTGATGTTAAGGGGATGCTGACTGTCATGAAATTAAATCTCCTGCACTTAGAAATCCCGAAAGAGACTTTTGAAAGTATTTCTACCCTCTACCAGGTCACTTTTGGCAGTACTGCAGAGTGGGTGAGCTAATGAACGGCAATTCAATGCTTTGTGTGGGTCATTTTTTAGTTTCTTAGGCATTTCAAACATCTTTACAGACAAATTCGTTATAGTTGGGTGTGCTTGAGAGATGTCTTGATTAATTAAAAAAGTCTACTTTGACGTCTTGATAAAAGCATCAGTTTTGGGGGTTCAAATACAACGGTGGGATGGAATTGTGGCTTTTAAGTCCATAAAAGCGTGTCCGTGTTGAAGGGGAATGGCAAATGCACCTAATAAGTACTCAGAAAGGGCCACTGTGGGGAAAAAGTCGGGACGGCTTCAGCACTCTTTGACCAGTAGTAAAGTCATAAACCCCAAGCGGAAATTAAACCCCCAATTTCCATTTTGACTAATAAGCAGCCTCCCTCCATCTCACAAAATGCTTTTGACTTGGATTTTAGAGTGGGAAAATCCGAAGCTCACGGATGGTTCTCCGAAAGACTTTTTATAACTTCGTCTCGCAGTAGGGAATTGCGTCAATAAGTGCCCACCTCGTTTACTTTTTGAGGCGTTCGTTCCATTTAAAGTTCTCTCTGCCCGGTGGTAAATGTGGTTATAAGCGAATTCTTGGCTAACTCTGTGTCATTACAAAATACTGCACCACCGTTTTTGTTGGTACCATGGCGGACAGTAATCCAGATGGTCTACGGCATTTGCGTCGACTATTCAGGTGGTATTGCAGGCATTTGTTGACTTCTCTTGTACTCTTCAACTTATCAACGAATTGTGACAATTCCAAAGCTAAAGCTTTTGAGTTACTTGAGGTTTACAGTCGCCTTTTGGTTTTCTTTCATCAACCTCACTTTCTTTCTGAAGTAATAGACTCAAATGCATAAAAAGATACAAGTTTATGTGGAATTCATTTTAAGCCTTATTCTTCCTAAATGACTTTTTTTCTAAAAATTGCAGTGGAAACGTAAAAGTTTTAAGCGCTCAAATGGGTACGATGCTGCTGATGTGGTGGATCACACACCCCCAACCTGTCCCGAGCAAATCAAACTCCTGCCCCTGAGTCAGGAAACCCCTTCTCTTCATCAAGACACCCCACCTCCCACTACCACCGGTCACGAATCCCGCAGCACTAGTGAAGAAAATGCGGAGGGGACCTCTGTTATCATAACGACACCACCTGCCGCACCCACCACAACCGTCACGGATTCGAGGGACTTAGAAGCTGGTATTCGAAAGTCCATTACACCGCTCGATCACGTCGATGGAGATGTAGAAGCGGTGGTTGAAGAAGCAGAGGAGGAGGAAGATATTGACAAGGTTGTTGCCTTGGTAACGCGTCCACGAAGCGGTGCTAGTGGTGGAAGTCTTCTCCGAGTTCAGAAGTCGGTGGTGCAAGAAGCGGGGGTCAGTGGCAAAGAGCTGTCCACTCTAGGATTCATTAATCGCAGTGACTATTGGGAACATTCGGCTTTTGGAAGATCGAGGATAACGGCGATCGTGCTTGCATTTGTGGCCGTCTGCTGTCTACTTTACTGCCTGGTTGCTACCACCTGGGCGTACAGTGGACCTCGTAAGTACAATTCTTATCTGATATGTTAGACACCATCTATTTAATCTGATCGCCCAAAAAGGTTGAACGAAATTAGGAATTGTCAACTGTGCAAAGCTAAATAATTTATATTTCTGTGACATTTAAGGTTAACAGATAACTTTGTGCACCATGCTGCTATTAGCGTTTTCTCTTCGGTCCCACTTAGCTCTTAAAACTAAATTTTTGGACACTGTTTATACTCTTTCCATTAATAATAAAATTCCTGTGCAAGCCTACAATATATACTACTCAAATCCATCGGCAAATTTTAAGTAGTAGTATGTCTGACTTTTCCAACTGAGTAGCTAACTTAGTTAACAAAATAATTTATTTTTTATGGTTTGCAGCAGCAGTAAAGGCTCTTTTAAAGCTTTATGCTTACTGCTTGAGCTGCACAAATATCCAACAACTAAGCATTGTTATTTAATAATAGCTTCGGTGGGAACCATTCAATTTAGTTTCGTATTTTTGACTTTTCGAGCAGCTACTACAAATCTTTACAAAAGATGCTTTAGTTAGGCCTTGTTTATTCCGTTTGCTACCATGATTGTCTGCAACCCTAATTTCCAACAAAAAAGACGACAACGGATTCACCCAAAGGCCATAATGGTTGTACAGTGCTTTGCTGTCTTTAGCATTGAATAATCATCACGAGTTTTAGTTATTAAGTCACTGTCCCTTACTATAGCATGCCTTCAGAAATACATATTGTACTATTAACTGAAAAATATTGCAGAGGTCCTTTCACCAAAGCGGTCACATTCATCAGCCCTTGTCGAGTCAAAGGACTTTCAATCTGATTGACAGAAAATTGTATCAGATTTGTAAAGGATCACAGGGTCTCATTTCGCAACCACTAACAGTTGAGTCCGAATGGAGGAAATTGAAAAATAATTCTCCCTGAGAGTGTGAATCCCGTACTCTGAGCATTACTTTAAATTCATTACCCCAAGATAATAAGGTTGCACAAAGCCTCAGTTTTACAACACCTTTCCGCCATTTCGATCTTACACTTTGCTTAATGGAAGAATTTCTCAATTTGCAAAAAAGTAATGATTGGCAGGCACTTCAGCCCTATTCGTCAAAATTTATTGCGAACGAAAGTTGTTGACTGCTCTAAGAAGCATCGTTTTATGACAGGTGAAAAAGTTTTCTAAATTAATAAATAATGCAAAAGGAAAAATCATATCTCAAGACAAGGAGCTAGTAAAACCAGTAAATATTTTGGAAGTTCAGTTCTCTACGATTTGCAGCCAAGCTCATAGAGGGGTTGTTAAGTTAAAGGGAGAAAAAGTTGTGCCATTAACTTGGTATGGCAAAGTCAGCCAATCAGCGATGATGTGTGAAAAGGTCAATAATTTTGTTCAAAGACACAGTCTGCTTTATGATTAGTGCCAGCGATAATGGGCTTGGTTATATTTATAGCAGTCTTCCTCGTGTGGTGGTGTGCAGGTTTACTGCTTCTCCACTACTGCCAGTACTTGACAATGAGTAGCGACCCTATGACCAGTTACTCCAAAATAGGAGCATTTATTTTTGTATACCTCGTGATGTTGGCAACAAATTACAGTTTCTTCTCGTTTGCTTAATTATTAACCTCAGGCGGAATACTTTAATGCTAACAAGTTCTTTTATTTACACCTCCAGCTTAACTACAACGATATTCTGTAAATTATCCAAATTCTTAATACTTGTCAGTTTCGAGTGACATCATATCATAAATGCCAGGCAAAAGGGTTAATCAGAGAAATGCTTGAGCTTGATGGCCATTTTTATGTTTCGAAAACTCTATTCTTGATGCTTCAATGAAATGCGGATCTGTGAGTACCCTCACCCGAGCTCTGGAGGGAGTTCCCTTTGAGACATTACGAATTTAACGCATGTTAATGGAAATTTAATGCAACCTTACATAAGTGCTAACTGCTGTTAGCCTAATTGGCAACGGCAACGTTAAGTCAATGTAAAAGACTATATTGACTTCAATATCATTATTAACAATAAAGTAATCTGTTCGGACATCTTAATCTTTCAACCCTTAGAAACATTACAATTAAAGCGTAGAGAAAATTTAAAAAAATTTGTTTTCCTCATATTTCACACGATCACTTGTATTCCCCTTTGCTGGAGGAAGGATTATCGAGTATCCAACTTCCCAAGCATATCACTGGCACCTCTCCTATCCTTTTCTAATTGTTTATAAAGGCCATTGAGATTTCGCATCCATGGTTCTTCCAACGCTTGCATTAATGGGGGCGTTCGGGAATCACACATCATTCTATAGTTGTTGCTATTCCATCACTGTGAGTGCTAAAAGAGCTAAATTTAGCTGCTGCTTAAAATAGCTTTCCTTTCTTGCCCCTGCGTACTGAGAGTGGACAAGGTCGTGGATTACGGCAGCACAAGCCTGACCAATCGGACGCCAGCACTAACCGCTGATTTAGCCAATGAAACTTTCCGTCTGTTGTCTGAGCATTGACTGCTGACGCAAGCAATCAGTGGTGACCTTGGCGACGGGACGCTCTAATTGGTTTAGGGCGAGGAGTAGAAAATGCAGTCAGAATCAAATTTGTGTTCACTTCTCCTCCTCCTTCTTGCCTTCTCCTTTGCCATTTTTGAAACGGAAGTGAGGAGAAGGAAAGTCAAAGAAGACAGTTTGTTTATACATCAAATGGCGGTACTAAGTGGTTTAATGAGGTGAAAAGAAGGAAATAATGAAGGCAATTCGACCGTAATACGGAAAGTTGTTAGATGCACAAGCTTACGAAAGCAATAAAACCAAGACTGACATGCATATGCAATGTTTGCTTTAACCTTTTTTAAATGTGTTCTTTGTCAGTGCGCTCTTATGCGGCATTACGATATTCTAAAGCACAAAATGCGATGATGTTATTAATGGCTGGATTAATTCTTTGCACTCAAAGTTGGGATTGGATTAATGGAGCTATCGAGGTGTATGGTGACACTCATAGAGTGAGGAGAGAGAAGGTTTTAGAGTTCTTAAGCCGAAAAATTGATGGCATTTGATGCCGCCGTTAAAATGACAAAACTACGAGGCTGAGATGTAAACTCTCTCCACCGATAAGCTCGCCATCACTGCAGATATTTACAGCTCAATGAAAATATCGTCCTAGTGGCTCCAAGATACTTCGGTACCGTAGATAATGGGACCTTCCTGTACTTCTAAACGTTGTTTCCGGAGAAAAGGTTTTATGAACTGCATTCTGAGAACTGAATATTACCAAAATTCGAACAATA